CCCCCTCCCCATGAGAGCCTTAAGTAATTTATGAACGGCCCCTTATTTAAATTTTTGGTATTCCTTATGGTCTTTATTACTTCAAATTCCTAATCATATAGATAATAGAAGAGAAATCATGCAGATTTTCCTTTAAAAAAAAAGAGCGTTTAATTTGGTTTGAATTTAAAAGATTCCTGCTTGGCCCGAAAGGCGAGGGTTGACAAAAATCCTGCGGCGCGTGGGGAGTGCAGTGAGTCTGCAGAAAGGAAACATCGATGCTCCCGATTGCGCACCAGACAGTTTGCGATGGAAATTCGGCAGGATTTTTGTCATCCCTGCCTTCCGAGCTCAAGGAAGGAATCTCTGCTGAACCTGAACAGTCGACTCCTATCTAACAACACCGAAAGTACCGAAACACTCTGCCGAAGATATTTAGATTAGATCTAAAAACGTGTATTTTCTCATCATCAAACTTGGCTCCAATTTCATTTTTTAGGATGAGTAACTCTACCGTGCTTGGTAGTCATAACTTTGTTTTACCTTCCTTTTTATTGTGAATTTGTACACATAAGCACGCACCAAACCAATATTGAAGGAGCACTCCAACACTCATCATTTTGGTTGTAATTAGTACTCCTATCTATTTAAAATGGTTTTTAAATGTGTCTCTGAAAGAACTACCAATACAGAACCAGATCTATTGATGAACGCAGTTAATGTTTGGAATACACGACCACACATCATAAATCGGAAACTAGCAGGAGCCAAAATTCTCGGCAAGTATCATTACCTCACTCCACCAGATTTTGAGGTGACGATTTCAAATTTGAGGAACCTGACCCTAGCTAATTTTGCTAATGAGTCAGAGCTGAAACTAAGTTTTGCTGAAAACCATGATCTTCCTCTTGTGGAGTGCTTGAGTGACAGATGCGAGCAATGTGAAAAGATTCGCTTGGATCTGAAATGTCTCATTTTAAGGAATCAGTCTAAAAATCCAAAGACCTATGAAATTGTTGTCACAGGTATGTAGAAGTCATCTATGTTTTCAATACTAACCGTCAGTATTTTTTTTTCAATATTTTTTTTTACTTTCTTCTCTGTTTTTTTTTTTTTTAATTGTTAACTTAATAAGTAGCACAAGACACTAAACAGGTACAAATTCCAATATCTACTCGGCAATATCCAGAAGTTATTAAGATTATAAATATAATTGAAGAAGTTAAGAGAATGGACATGTAAGGGTCCAGGTGTGCAGAAACATCCAAGAGTTTCCCCGAAATAAATTCAGATTGCCCCATTTCAAGTTTTCGCAGAATTTTGCCCTATACGTAAAGTAATGCGGTCAACAGTTATGTTTCCTCTTAACAGCGTGCTAGAGTGTTTTGTTCCCCACAAATGCTATTCTTGTAGTTTCTTCTCTGTTGGCAATTGGTTTCATGCAAATTGAGAAAACACTAATGAATGAATAAATAAATCAAGTTTTTATATTCTGTCAATAAGTTAAGTAAGTGTAGAATTTGTCAGAAATTTATAATTCAACAAGAAAAAGCCATCCCAAATTTTGTATAAGATCATTAAGGAGCATTCCTTATGTAGGTTGATGTTAATCTTAAAATCTGTTTGAATTAATTTAATTGTTATAGATAATACTGTGTCCCGTGTCCTATTTTGTGAGCTATCAAGTTCCTCTCTTGGAGTATGTTCAGCATACTATATTTCCTTTGAAAATGATGCTGTAAGACTGTTCATTGACTCAGAATGTTCCTCCGAGGGCAATCAAAAATGGCTCATGGATGTCTTACTCCCCAAAGTGATAAAGTGGGCTGATAACCAAGAATTTTTCCGCACGAACGCCAATCTCAATGCATCTCTGCGCCTTGTTAGTATTGATACGTATAGTGAGCTTTACAACGTACTCAAAGGAAAGTATGGCAGAGGCATTGTCAAGGTACTTATTTATTCATTTTATACATTTTTTCCAGGAAATAGTAAGTATCTTCTCTTCTCTTGATTCAATCAGAGTATCACAGGTTATGGAGTTTTAACAAAGATGCTTACATCAATCATTGTATGAATACTATCAGGTAAACTAATGTAAAAATGAAATAACAATTATGAAAATTAATATTAAAAAACGCCTCTATTTGAAAAAAAACTCAGTGGGAACCTATGAGACAAAGGATACATCCTTACAATGAACAGACCATAAGTACAGATAGTTGAATCAAGTATAGATTTGACGTTTCGCCGATAGGAGGCAAGTCTAGAATTTTTCAGCCTCCCTGACATTGGAGGTGGAATAAATTATGTTCCAAGGGGGGTCCAGGGGCAAATCTTCAAGAAATTATATACATATTTTTTTGGCAATTTTGACCCATTTTTCATCCAGTTTTACTTGCGTAGCTATTACCTACTTTGATAAAGAAGATAAAGCTTAAATCCTGAGAACATTTTTTTTACCTTACACGCAAAGTAAAGAAAAAATTAAATTAAATGAAAAATTAAGGAAATCTCTCTTGTTTAATCTTTCCTTTAATTGTCTCCTGAAAATGAGGTCATATACAGGGTGATCCAGGGTTAAACGACCAGACTGCAGAAGTGTGTTCTATGGGTCAAAATAAGACTTTTTTATTGTACTTATACTTGAAGTTTTCTCCGAAAGTGCCCCTAGTTGGAGCTACGGCCCCCCAAAATTTTGGAAAGTAAATCGTTTTTCCTGAATTTGGGCAATGGTTGTGAACCAAATCTCATGATATTGTGTGCTCCCCTGTAGTTTTATGCCCTGAATTCATAGTGGATCCGAAAAAACTCTAAATCTCAATTTAAAGAAGGGGTTTGGGGGTGTTTCAGCTCCTGCAGTCTAGCTGTTCAACCCTGGATAACCCTGTACAAGCCAAAACATTCTTGTTTCTAAAATTCTCCTGTTCTACAGCTTTCCCTGGATTTTACTGTCTAAAATTGGGTTTTTGGGGGAAATAAGTTGGTTTCAATTCATATCCTTTTCTTAATATTTTCCTTTGCAAGATTTGGCCAGAAGTCACGGATCCATTAAAGTTTGTTTATGAAGATGTTGCGATTGCAACCTATCTTCTTATCTTATGGAGTGCCCAAGGAAAATTTCAGAAGTTCATTGATCTGGGTTGTGGCAATGGTCTATTGGTTCACATTCTCAACAGTGAAGGTCACGATGGGCAAGGAATCGATATCCGCTCCAGAAAAATTTGGAACTTGTATCCTAAAACCACGAAGTTGAAGGTAAAGATTTTAGCAACAATTGAAATATTGTTCCTGGCATGGTGATTAGAGTTTGTGCATTGTAGTGCTCGCAGTATTGGTCTGGCTTGAAAATTCTTGAGGGGCTGATACGTTTTGGGGCCCCTATTGCTTGGGTGGGGCCCCCTCTAACTAACCTAAAGTCTTTCTCTTTGTGGGTTTTTCAAGTTTAAAGGGCCCCTATAAGAAACCTGCTGGGGCCCTCAGAGCCACCTGTCAGAATTTCTGGGATGCTGAAGCACTCACGCACCTCTGGCTAGAATACCCCTGAGCGTTGGCATCAAACAGTCTGCTCTCAGCGTTCAGATATTGACTACAATTATGATTTTGGTCCAGTCAGTATCATAAGAATGGATTATTGATTAAATCATTTGAAATTAATCCTGCAAAAGTTTTTAAATCAATACCGGTCTCCGTTTTGGACGATTATAAGGAAATTTTTATGTTTTTGCCAAGTTTTTTACCCTGTTTCATTTTATTGGTGCGTATTCACTACATTTATTTATCATGCAAAGGAGTTGCAATCTCCAACTTTTTTTCTGAGAGTCAACTGTCTAGGAGGCAGTAAAATTTTATTCATGACAAAGTAAAAGAGTTTTTGTAGGCCTTGACAATCTGCAAAGTTTATTTTTCGAAAAGGAAAGGCAAAAAACGGGCTTACTTACAACTCACATCTGTATTTTGTGGTAAGATTTCTATGCCTTCTTTAGGTAAGGGGGGGGGGGCATTTGCTCCTAAATTTTTAAAAAAATTAAATTTCAATTAGGCGAGTAAATTAAATATATCTGGTCGTTTATGTGCAGGCTGAAGCAATTACTCCATCTGACAATACCCTGTACCCAGAGGCTGATTGGCTGATTGGCAATCACTCAGATGAGTTAACTCCGTGGATACCAGTGATGGCTGCCAGAAGTTCGCACAAATGCAAATTCTTCCTACTACCATGTTGTGCCTATGAATTCAACGGCAAGAAATATCAACGGAAAAATTCAGCCAAAAGTCTGTACAGTGATTACATGGATTACATAAAATTTGTTTGTGACAGTTGTGGTTTTGTCACTGAAAGCGATAAATTGCGGATTCCGTCGACAAAACGTTGTTGTTTTGTAAGCCAGGGAAGAAGTTATCCGGCTACGGAACATGTAAACAAGTGTATTCAGATTCAATCTTTTGTTGATAGAGAATGTGGAAAAACTAGAGTTCCATCAGACGAAGAGTTATCAAGTCCGAAGAAGTCAAAGTGGTCTGCAGAGTTTGTTCCAAGAGATAAAGAGGAGAGGGTCAAAAACTGTACTAAAGTTGATAAAGCTGTAGTATCCAACATCATTGCCGTGATAGTCGAGGAGCTGCTAAGCAGACAATTTTCAAGGGTTGATAAGGAGCTCAACCTATGGGAACCTGATTACGGGGTGGAAATCAGTATGTTAGCTAAACTTATCCCAAGAGAGGATTTAGTCAAGCTGAAAAGCGAGTGTGGTGGTCTTCAGACCTTGTTGAGGAACAACCAGGACATATTCCAGATGGAAAATGGGAAGGTCTTCTTTCGAAAGCCGCAAGTTAGGGAAAAAAATGAAAACTGGAAACGGAAACCATGTTGGTTTTTCTACAATCATCCTGCGTCCTGTGCCTTAGCTGATGAAGATTGTTCTTTTGCTCACTGAATCTCATATGCTCAGCGTTCACTGAAGTGCACTTACCTACGGCTTTTTTGGAACATTCTGTTTCCAAGGATCAAATCTGCAGCCTTGCGCTAAAGGATTAGCACTACATCTTTTAGGCATGATCAAGCTATATATTGATGGTCAAAGTGCAAAACCATGTATCTCCATCGGGGTGTTTCAAAATTTTTGTCCATTTTTAATTTTTTCATGAGGAACAAACCAACTTTATTACCTGAAATTTTACAGAATATTCTGCAATTAACAAAGAAAAATCAGGAAGTTTTTTAAGAAACTAAGTAGACTACTTTTCCAAGGAAAACGTAAAGTATGAAAAGTTTTTAAGAAACTAAGTAGACTACTTTTTCAAGGAAAACGTAAAGTATGACAGGAAGTCTAGAATGTAGCAGACCAAGTTACATGGTTTTGCACTTTTGGCCATCGATATCTTTGAAATAAAGCCATGTCTTGTGGCCCGTTAGGAGGTGCTCTGATTGTTATCTTTCTGTTTTATTTTTTGAAATATTTTGTATTTGATTTTAGCAGACAAAGAAGAAATATACTTTGAGTTTTAATTGAAGTAACACTTTATTATCACTTACATGTTACAGAAGATTGATAACTGGTGCTATCTAGGACAAGCACGTGTGTAAAAATTATTGTCGCATAAATGAAAAAACGATTTAATCTCATTCAACAAATATTTAGCTATAAAAGTCTTCGTAAAAAGATCCTTACTATTTCGACTGGTAACATCGTTGTCTTGTAAAGACAGATGGTTTTCGAGTAGATACTTCCTCACTGAAAATGGTGATCATTAAAAAATCCTATTGATTCCCTAAATGGTTGAAATAGGAGTCATAAAGCAGTACAACTCATTTAGATGAGAATTACATCAACATTTGAGGGAGAATCAAGTATTTTCTCGTTTTCTATTAATTGTTTTGCAGTAGTTTCTCTATTAAGGAACAGCCCTTAGCAAATACATGAAGTTTCTGCAAGCTGAATTGACAGAATTGACAGATAACACCTAGTACTGCTCATTGTAGTCAGAACATTGACAAAAGATAATAAAGGTGAAAAAAGTTATTGGACTGATTAAATTCGTAAACATATACATACCTTCTTAAACTTCAGTTTTATGAAATTAACAAAGAGTTAAAAACAACATCTACAAGTCATCAAAGCAACACAGAATATCTAAAAGTGAGAATTTTATGTATGTTGCAAAGGTTTCGACTTCCTATTTTTATAGTTGCTAGTCTGTGACTTTATGTGCTGGCAGAGCTACTTACTTTCATTATTCAATAAACATATTGTTCACTTCTTACTTTCTCTAATTACAATATGGATAATATGATAATAAGGCAATCAGGCGTGAAAAACCGCAAGTAGTTCATATAATCAGGAGTTCAAAATATACTGTTAAGCCACTATTCACTTAAATGCAGCTTGTCAATGCTCAACAGCTCAACAGCTCTACAGCTGAGTGCAAATCCCTTGTCATTCAAATGTCTGGAATCTTGGAAAGGGCATAATTAAGGAGGAGAAACAAGGTTTTTCAATTTAGTTTGAAGTTCATAAGTGCGTTGAAAGAGATTTAGTGCACCCCTGCATAAAATTGGTATAGGAAACAGGAGAAAAATCTATCTGAAAACATTATTTAGAGTATTTCCTTTGGAAAATCAACCCCAAGACCATTAGAAGATTAGAGAACCATTTACTGACAGCAATAGCTCTAGGAGAATGATTTTAATGACATCATTATTACAAAGAAAACATGCGCTCACACACATTTAAGACATACTTAAATTTTTTTTAAAATACTTTTGAAATGATTCTACTGTTGTTAGAATTTCAGCCCAGAAATAATCATGATTTTTAGCCAAGTTTATGCAAAGCAACTCTTTTTATCTCTCTAGACAAATTTTAATTTGAGGAAAACAATTGTAATTTGCCTTTTTTTAAAATGATTTTGAGGAGTAACAGGACAGTATTTATTGAGGCGTCCTACATATTTTACCTCAGAAATAGACTGATTTAGTGACAATGTCAGAAATGTATTAAAAAATATTATAGATTCTTAGGGCAGTATTATGCAAGTGAGTGGAATCCATTATATTCAATATAAAATTTAAGATGACTTTCAAATTTTCTTCAATGACGTCCAATTAGTTGAAAAAATGCCATTCCAAACAATCTTCATAACTCATCTGTGTCAGTTTTAATTTTTCATTTGTCTTATTCAGGAAAACACAGGAATAATTTAAAAACAATCTAAAGCTATCTGCTATGAAAACCTGCAATAATGTGTATGTGTGAATCTTTTGTAAAAAAGGCAGGTAATTTTTCATTGAAAATTATCAGTCATCACCTCAATTTTGAGTGTCAGTGAGGTCCTAGCATGAGCAGCCTATTGCCTAACAGCCTGAAAAAAGTTTTGTTTCATAAAGAATACATAAAAAACAAATTCAATAATTTGTTTCCATAAAATTCAACAAAACCATTTGTAGATGAGACAAGATTCAATACTGATCCATTTTTCACAAACATTATTACCTACGGGCGCTTCAAATTTTTCAATGATTAAGGCTGTGAGTTGCAAGATTTCTAGGAATTGTGAGTTGTTCGCCTTAAGTTTCGAACATGCCTGATTTAAAAAGAGAAACGTCACAAGTAACCAAACGAACATGGAGATAAATTTTTTCTCGTCAAACATTGGAGAAGTCATTTTTCCATCATTTTTTGTTACCTATATAACTCGGGAGGTTTACTTACTCCATAAGTAAGTACAGCTAAATAGTTCTGAATGGGATGAGCAGAATATAAACACATACAGAATATAAAATGAATAGATAAAAGATGAAGAAAAATCAGTTGAGAAAAACTAAAAAACATGTGCGGGGAAAAATAATCGAAGGTTTTTTGCTTGTTTTGTTCTAGTTTGGTTTTTCTTGAAGAGTTTCAAACTCCTTACTGAGCAGTGTTAACACAAGAGAGGAACAGGTCACTGCTTCGAGCTATTGGCAACATCTACCGTTCTTAGAGGGAAGCATTTCATCTTTGAAATTAAAGCAAAACTTATCACTCTCTGAAATAAAACTAACGACTGGAATCTTAAAATTACATTGAAACCTTTGATCAACTTTGATCTAGAAAATCAGAGAGAATCAAGAAACTCTTATAATACCTAACCAAAACACGATAAACAAACATGTCTGTGACACACTTTAACTTCCATGGCACTTAAAAAATGAATATCCAATTACAGGACTTTTCTGAATTGACAACAAAATTAACATCGAAATGAGAGTTGGAAAGTCCTCAACGAAAAGCCGTTGCGAAGAGGCTTCTGATCAAAGTCAGTGGCGAGGTGTGAGTGATCAATTATAGATATCTCCCCATTTGAAGCTATAGTGTAGAATCGATTGCTAAGGTGTTTGTTGCATTGATCCTATTCCATAGGTTTAAATGGCAGATCAATCGATAAACCCCAAGTACACCACGCCTCTGATCAAAGTTGGTTCCTTCTCTGAATCACAGACTTGCTCGAGGGGGCAATCCAAATATAATGATGAATGCACAATATTTCATCTCAATTTATTGAATTCTGCTCATTAAAACAATACTTGACACTTTGATCGATTACTAAATTTCAACTTGAAAAATTAAAGGTTTTCCGAAATTTTTCAATCAAAATTTAAGGTTTTCTTGCCTGTAATTAGGAATTAGGAATAATCAGCGCTTCATATAAATTTTGATTCGTGCGACTCAGCAGCCTTCAACCACCTCCACTGAGGATTCCTCTACTGCTGAACAAACAAACGGTTTCAATCGATACTGATATCAAAACTAATAATGATGATACACAACTGATAATGATAGACTACTAATAATGCGAAACCACATACCTCCGTTTGCGACATCACAGACTTTCTGTCACAATTTATTTTTCCTTTGGAAAGCTCGTCAAAGTGATATCTTAAAAACTTCTTCGATTTCTTTTCTCTGTTGATAGAATATTTCTGTATAAATTCCAAGTTTAAAAGTTGACTTGTTCTTCTCCGAAAAAGGAACTCGGGAGCAGAAATTTTGAAATACCGCAATGGAGATGCCTGGTTTTGCACTTTGGCCATCGATATTTGCTCCAAAAAAGTATGGATAAATAGTGGCTCATCTTGACAAGATTCCAGAATTGAAGATAAATTACATTTACAAATTTTGCCAAGATTGCTAAAATACACACAAGCTCACCTTGAGATCCGTCCATGAGGTTGTACCCCTTGTAAAGTTTTAGAAATACTCCTGCAGAGATAATACAAGCAAAATGAAGAGCACATTTCATGGCTTCCAAATTTTGCTCATTTTTCGGAACATCTCAATATTTTCTACTTAAAATTAATCAATAATACTGAGCTCATTATGCTAACATTTAAATACGGCTGAACAAAGCTACAGTTCTAAATCCATAACAATACATGGATTACCATTACATTTCAGGTGGGTATTTTCGACCTTATTCTATATAATTGTTTGGCGGTACAATGCAAACAAAGTACGTTAACTGAAAAACTCAAGACATACATGATGGGCCCATGGACAAGGTACGAATTAAAGCCCTACATATCATGATATCTCTTCAAGATATCACAAGAAATGAATGTCACAACTGGGAGTCTGGAAATCAACTTCTATGTGAGATATACGTGTTTACAATTGACATTAGTTAAGGACAAAATACGAATGATGTCATTTGTATAATCTACTTTCCATACGACCTGTCTTAAAAAATACTTGTTCAAATCAATATCTCGTTCAGGATTGATTCCTGCACTCCTAGTTCTGTGAAACTTGTGACTTTATTTTCAACTCAGACTTTGAGCGGCGGCCCATTGTGTTTAAATATGGTTGAGAAACCTATGTTCAGTTGCTGTTTCGAAATACGGTCAAGTTTTTGAAAACTTTGTTGAGCCCATCATAATTTCACGAACTAAAGAAAAGTGACTGCCCTCAGGAGGGGAAAACGGTGTTGCAAAAATTGAAACTGAGGGACTGCTATCACTGTTTTAAGGAATGTTCCATGAGCATTTAGTAAGGATTCAAAACCAAGGTTGTTTGTAAAAAGTTTGTAATTCAAAAACCACAATTTTGATCTTCCGTGGTCAAGAACAAACATTTTATACAAACTTCACGCCTTTTAGTGGAATAAAAATGAACTACACGGGTCAAAAATTTTTCTTGGTTGACACTGAAGAGGGTTTTCTCGTAAAAGTCGCATTCTATTTTCTAACTTGACTTGGCAGAAATAGCTTCCTTAGTTTATCTCAGTGCAAAAATGTCCCTTTCCTGTAGACGATCACAATTTCCCTTGGTCAATTCTTTCTTGATGAATTTAGAAATGCAGTTCAGCTTAATTTCCTCCAACTCAAGGAAAAAACAAAAATTAAAGCAAAATCATGCTAAGCGCTTTTTAACACTGTGAAAACAATAACAGTATAAACTTTATTGCTGGGTTTTGATTGCTGTTGGAATGAAGTTTAAGTACAGAATCAAATGATGAAAGGTCTTGAGACTTTTCCAATGTTTCTGGATCTCGGCTTGGATTCAGCAAGCTTGTTGGGAGGTCGACCTCGATTCAATTGTGAAATCCTTGTACTGAGCAAATACACTTATCTAGACAAAAAACGGAGAAAAAATTATACAAAAAAGTTTGTCAACTTAAGCTCATTGCCACTAATGTGAATCCACAAAAATTATGAAAAACGAACAGAGAGCAAGTTCATGGAGAGGTAGAGAGTAAGTTAGTTTTAGACTGCACCAGAAGATCCGCTATCTTGATTCTTGCATACAATTTCCATGCAGAACTGACGCCAGACAATCATTTGGCACAATTTTAAAGTGCATAAACTTATTAGGCGGGGGCTCTAGTATTATTTAGACCTACATCATTTCCCCGACAAAGTTTTATAAGGAGTTACTTCCGTCTTTGGCATATAATTACCCTGCTTTTCCCTGATTTCCAGTCTTTTGATTGTCCAGATTATGTATTCTCCTATCAGTGAATAAAAAGATCTTTCACCTCAATCAGAGACGCAATCGTTCATAAAACTTTATAGAGTAAAATTTCATGATAAAATCACAAAATTTCACGAAACTTTTTAAAATCCTGCTTTGAATTCGGGATGCCACAAGATGCAACAGTAAAATCTTAATTTTGAATTTTTTACAAAAATAATTTGAGTCGAATTTGGAGTTTCTCATCGACTTCTCTGATAAGGTTGCATAGGCAGCCCCTGAAAAATCAGTGACTTTTCATGGAAAGTGAAATTATACTTCTTAGCAAACTGAATTTCCATGAAATTTCATTTTGCATTTTTAACCTTGATCAGCACTGCAGAATCCTCTTATTTTAGACTGCAATAAAACATTGGCCATCTTGATTCTTGCATTAACTTTCCATGCTAAGCTGATGTCAGACAATCATCTGTCACAATTTTAAAGTGCGGAAACTTATTTGGCGTGGACTCTAGTATTATTTGGACCTATATTGTTTATCCACATCGTGAAAAAGGTTATCATCCTGTTAATCAACATCATATCTCTTACCTTGTCTTTCAATTGCTGGCAAAGCTGGAGAGCCACTGTGAAGAGTACGAGAACTTCATTCAACCAAGGTATAGATGCTTCCGCTTGAACTGTATCAAACTTCATGGTTCCGTGAATATTCGATAGCTGATAGACTGCAAATATCAACTTGTGACTTTGGATGTAAAAGCTAATTGCAAGGTCCTCGGGAAGATTGGGCGTCAAGGATTTCTGAAAATAAGAATAAAATAGTATCGAGATGAATAGTTTTGCAGGCTCAGAAATCAGTCCGTTGAAACTTCTGTAATAGGAGGTTGATGACATAATAAAAAGAGGTGACAAGTTGTCTTGTCATGTGGGAATACTGATCAAGGTTTCCTGGAGAGCAATTGTCATATTGACAGTCAAGTCGGAAAATAAATATTTTCGTTGAAACATTTCAAAATTTTTACTCTTATTTTCTTCAGTTAAAAGAACATTGATTAATATTCTTACTTATATTAATAGTAATCCTAGTATTGGTAGAAATTACACATAAAACGTTCCTGAATTGGAATGACAAGTGGTAGCATAGGGGTCATACGTTTTTCTAATTTTATTATCAAACTCTTTGGTCCCCAACGAATTTTTTTAAAATTATTTAAGTTCCTGCTTCATTTTTTATACCTAGTTTTTTTTTCGGTACCCAAGTCATCAGAAAATGGGAGGAAGGGGGAAAGAAAAGCCATGTACATATGATTAAAATAAAATCTAATTTTTTTAAAATTAGCATTTATCTCCTGAAAGAAATTACAATCATCGAAAATTTAAAGATAGAGCTGTTGAGGCATTTGTTGCTTTTTCCGCAGGTTTAGATTGAAGTCAAAATTTCTAGACCGCCTAGGCATTATCTCTACTTGAGGTTGACAGCTTTGAGCAGAAATAGTAGCCTAACTGCGTTTTAAATTGCCTAATTTTCTCTTATGTTTCATTTTTATAGCAGTGAGACTTTCTGTGGATCTCCCTGAAATTAAATGGAATTTGCATATGTTGTATACACATTCAATGTAGAGTTAAAAGAATAAAACATGAGAGCAAATTAGACGATGGACAATTGTTCAGGTTCATTTTGCTTACAACTGTATAAATATTGTTGAAAATATCTCTGGTAAAGAGATAAATTTGAAACTGCTGAAATACAAGGGTTGATCAAAAGAAGATCTGGACTCAAAAGATGGCGGATGGCCAAGGTTTCAACCGCGGTGAATTAGAGAAACAGTCAGACATAAATTAGAATTTTAATAATTACCATATTTCTGCTGCGCATTAAATCGTCAATAGTTCTTTTCCTAGGAACAATAAGGCTGGAGCGCCCTCGCTGCAAGCAATTTAAAATATTGCCCAATATATGGAGCACTTCTTCAGAAGACCTGAAAAAACATGGAAATTATGTGCTTAAATTTTTCTGTAGCTGGCTAATGGAATTCAATTGATTATCATTTAATTTCTGTGAGCAGAGCAGATCTGTGCCCATATAATACATTATCTAGTGTCAATTTAATGGCCAAAATGCTGAACCTCATGTCTCTATGGCAGTAAATTTTTACTCCTATTTTAATTTTTTTAAGAGCAACAAGCAAATTTCTTAGCTTGAAAACACAGGATATTTTGCTGACAGAAGAGAAAAATCAAGAAAGTTTTCAAGAAATTAAATTGACCAATTTCCTAGAGAAAAAATAAAGTAGGACAGGAAATATGCAATGTTGTTAACGGAGATGCCTGGTTATGTACTTTCACTATGGAATTACAAATTACAAGTTAGTTGACGGCATTGTAATATTATCCTTGGAAATCTTAACTTTAATTTTCTGCAAGACTTCAGGAAAAAACAACAGAGGACAGAGGCATGTAAATGGCTGTTTGTTATTGATGGTCAAAACTATTTAGACTCTTTGTGGATAGTAAAACACCAAAAATTTATTCCAGAATTTTTTTGTTATTGGAAGCTAAAAATATAAAGAAAATCTAAATTGAATGTCTTAATTGGACGTATGTGATTCAGAAGAGAGTATCTTCATTCTCCACTGTGACGAAGGCCCTTCCATGCGTGTATTCTGTAAGTCCCCAATGAAGTCAAGAAATTGATCCCTCCTCCTCTTGGCACTACTCACAGTCTAAGCTATGACTTTGATTGGCTGTAACAGCCAAGGATGAAGATAAAGAATGATAGAATCTTACGTGAAAGCATAGTTTTTGCCGATATTGTCAATGTGACACAATGCTTGTTGCAGATGATTTCCAGCATCCTGTACTTGGTGCAATTTCCATGGATGGTCATGCTGAATTGTTGTCCTGTATAAGACATGTTGCTGTCTTTGAATTTTGAATGCTATTTCCTGAAATGAAGCAAGAGGAAAAAGTGTCCATCATGTGAGATGAATAATTTTCTGCGAGAGCGAGTGAGATTTTGAAAATTGAAAAAAATATTCAGGGTGGCTAAAAGTTTAGTACCTTAAAATTCCCTGACTATTTGACTCAAGAAAAATTGCATCGTGCACTTGCTCAAGAGGTGAGACAGAAAAAACCAAAGTTTGGAAATAGGAAGCCCAAACCTTCCCATAGCTGTACCCAATTTACACTTCCCATCTCTAAACGAAATAATTGTATTCGTGAGAATGAAAACACAATAACTCGGAAAAATGAAAATGTTCAAGGGACCCAAATACCAGTAGTTCACTTGAAATTCGCTGGAAAAATTGCCACAGCCGAATCAGCAACGCGGACAATGTAGTCTGATTAAAATTCCCTGATTATTACCAGTCGTTAAAAATTTCCCGACAATTCCCAGTTTTCCAGACAGTTGGCCACCCTGAATATTGCTGACTTTGAGACTGACTAGAGATTTGTTTTCCCCATTTTCTGCTTTATGTAGTGTAGTGGTTGTAGAGCTGGCGCTATGAACAAGAGATTCCGAGTGACTTGCATTTGATGATCTCAGGCAATGGTCACCTGGGGCTGGGGTATTAAGCAACGGATTAGCCCCATGGGCTACTTAGTTGGTAAAAACGAGAAAAGAAAACAAAATTGCAGTGAAGCTAGTAAAATTCATATTCAAGGTGGCAGACTTTCTAAGGCATTCCAAAACTTAACTCTTAAATGCCCCATAAAAATGCAAGTAAGACTTACCGCATGAGAAATACTATCTCCTGATAACGAAACTACACTTTTCAGCTGATCAGGTGGAGCAACAAGAATGAATTTTTCTTGCTTGAGTGGACTATCATTGCCACATAATGGCAAAGGAAATCGTCGCACACATTCCTGAAATGAAAAAAGATTGGATCATAATTTTGGTCAACTTGATGTAGAAGAATCCTAAAGAGGCAGGAATCGATATGAATATTGTGCCAAAAAAAAAGAGACTAGAATCCCTATGGAAGAATTGAATAACTTACAGCAAGTTACAAATTTATCAGAACTGAGTTCAAAATTTTAATAATACTGACATTAAGACAAAATTCAATGGAGAGGACGTCTTCATGAAAGGCTAGGATGGAAAAATGTATGTTTTAAGTAACTATTATGGACATCTTGGATAACATTCTCATGCACTCAGCACAGGTGAGACTTAACTTGAAAAGTAAAGGCTTTGATGTCCAAAAATCCATAAGAGCTTTTTACTTTCAACTGTTCCCGTTGTCAAAGATTGTTTGTATTGCTTAACCATGATAGTTGACTTTGGGTTCTGAGGGAATTATTTAAGATTTCGGATAAAAATAGACTTTTGACCAACTAGAGGGACAGATAATTCTTGGCTAACATAATATAGTGGCAAGTAGCTCCTTTGCTGCTACCATTTAGAATATATTTCAATCTTCAGAAAAAGGTTTACTTAAAGTATACACAGATTGAAAATTTCCTCTAGTAGTAGCCGGTATTCCAGTATCTCTTTTTCTTCTTAAAAATGAAAAAAGTTCATATAGGTAATTGCTACTGAAACAATTTTGAGTGAGCAACTGCTTGCATGATCAAGAATATTCTGCACTGATTCACACAATGTTAGGCCTTCAAAAGAGAGAAACTATGACCGATTTCGACTTACCACTAGGATTGTCTGCAGCTGATTTAGAACAGCATGTACTTCTTCATTCAGGACCCATTCGAATTCCTTTTGCTAGGAAACAAAAAACAAGCATGAACTTTTTTGAAGCACATCAAATAAAATATTAGGTACAGAATTGATAAGTTGCCTGGATTGAACCTCATTTTTCCTGGTAAAATTTTAAGTGTCTCATATATTTTTCTTAAATTGAGAATTTGTAGGTGTCTAAAATTTGATGAATTTCATTCGTAAATGAAAACTACTTCATGAACTGCGGTAGGGTTAAGGTAGAGATTTTTAGGAACCTGGCATTTCTCCATCTCTTTTAGGATGCGCGCTGTCCACCTCTTAGCCATTTTTCTTACGCCTAGGCAATAAAATTGTCTTGGCAAATTCTACATTGGTAATTTCTGGAAATATTGACTTTATAACATTGAAACGGAGTTAATGATACCAAAGAAGCTAACTGTCTCATATTAGCAGGCTAAAAAATGCTGTTTTAATTTGCACATCAAGGGTAAATGTGCAAATAAAGATGCAACCCTCCAGTCTCGCACTTTAACTCTACTTGGCATGAACTATGGCACTAAGTCAATTTTTTCAATCTGAAAAAAAATAATGCCAAGTTAAACTTTTACTGAATTGGTGCGATCATTTCATCTTATATTTGATAGTTCTTCTTCAGTTATCATTTCTCTAATTCAAGTCAGTTTTAAATCAAATCTGCTCTCCTGAGAACTGTAGAGTTGCGTCCGGTAACTCAGCTTTCTAAATTAGACAAACATTATTTGTGACGAGTCTCATAATCGAACACCTTGGACTTTCCAAGTTGAGTCCACCTCAAGGATGAATTGATAGATTATGGAACAAAATGATGAGTATAAGCGGTAGATTTCTAATGTGAAATCCCCTAAACATGTTACTTTTGCGATATGGTAAGAAAACCGAAGTCATACTCACAAGGCTGAGGGCCTCTTCTTTTTCATTTTCGGCCATAATTTTACGAGCGTCTCTCAAATTACCACGAGCTGAAAATCTGCCAACTCACAGCTACGGACAGATTAGGGCTGAGTTAATGCTCACTGCCATTGTTATCATTGCCTGACCTGGATTACTCAATAAAAACCACAAAGTTTCATGTAAAAAAAGGCGGGTGCATAGACTCAAATTATGAAACTATAAAATAATAGAATTATGGGGAAGGAACACATATGTAAACACTAAAGAAATTTCGGCTTATTTTCATAATTACTTTTGAATAATTAAACTAATAACACATCACTTACTCCCCGAAAGTTCAAAATTTAACCTCAAAAAATTAAAATAGGTTGATAACAATAGTTTCAAATAGACCGCTGAGTAGCGCTGCATGTCGGACCGCGAAATTTTAAACTTCGCTCCTTACCGCCCACGCTCTCGCTTTCCACGCCCTGTCGTCAAAAAATTAGTTTTTAATCGAAGATGAAACAATCAGAAGAAGATTGATAAGAAAATGACTTATCAACGGAGTAAATTATGAAGTTTCATAGCATGAAAATGCGTGTGCTGACCCGATATTTTTATTTATTGCAAGAGCATTCCAATGTCGCTAACCTTGCAAACATAAACGATCATCTAAACTAGTTTCACCTCTACACCCAATAAACTATGAATTCAAGACGAAAATTACCGTCGCAAAGTTTACTTTTTGCAAAGAATGTACCTAAGTTGCACAATCCCAGCAACATTGAAACCTAGTTCCTTACCAACATTGCTCCTAGTTCCTTTTTGCAAAATGCGATCTAATTGGTTGTTGCTGCAAAAAAATAGTTTCCCACAACCTGCTATACAATGCTCCAGTGACCATGTAAGTTGGCCCGAGCACTAACTTTTCGGGAAGAAAGCCTTTCCCCTACCTGGTTTCTCACTTAATATCCGCCCGAGTTTCGCATATCTTCCGTTTCTCCTCATCGCAGCTTCCATCAAACCGCAATTGCCCGGAAACTAGGACCGCACATCTTATCTGATAAAATCGTTCGCCCTTTGGACCGATTCTGGGGGGTTGAGTCAACTGTTGATCTAATTTCATTACGTGAACGTAGAAGAAAAACGGGGGAAAAAATCACTAATGTGTGATCAATTTTCAAGGACAATTCTGTAAATTCTCATACGATTTTAAATAGATTAAAACGCGTAATATCCAAAATCTAAGCTCAGATTCGGATTCCTCGTGAAAAATTGATGAGATTTCATGTATCATATGTTAGAATAGCGTGAAAGAAAAAGGTTTAACGACGCGTATAGATTCTGTCGTACTTCCTCTTTGAACTACGCCGCCGCCTGTCGCCCGCCCGAGTGAAACCGAACGGAGGCGCCACTTAAGCGCCGGCTAAGCGTTCGGTTTCGTCGCGAGGAATTCCTCACGATAAATTCTTATTCTTCCTCCTCCGCTGACCCACTGAGCACTACCCATGTTGCCACGTTGCATTCATATACTCGAATCAGTATGCCTACGTTACGTCTCTTTCCTTCACGCTATGCTCGAGTATGGTACATAAAATCGCATCGATTTTTTACGAGGAATCTGAATCTGAACTTCGATTTTGGGCATCACGCGTTTTAAGTAAAATTTTTCAACTTCAAAAATCCGAAATGACTGAAGTGGCTTAAAATGCCATCTCGGCTCTTGTTCGATGGATTCTCCTGAAATTCGGTGTCAGGGTATGATACATGAAATCGCATCGATTTTTTACGAGGAATCCGAATCTGAGCTTCGATTTTGGGGATCACGCGTTTTAAATCAAAATCTGTCAAAATTCAACAAATTCAAAATTCGAAAATCCGAAATGGCTTAAAATGCTATCTCGGCCCCTGTTCGATGGATTTTTCTGAAATTCGGTGTCAGGCGGTATTTTTCAACGGAAAACTCGAATTTTTAGTCAATTTTTTAAAATTCTCAACTCCATGTTGGATGTGGCCTAAAATGAGCCCCGGTTCTGGCCTCCGTTTCTGTTCGTTAGAGCTTTGTGAACCGTGGGATCAGGGGTACTTTTCGACGAAAAACTCGAATTGTTAGTCGATTTTTGAAAATTCTCAAATCCAAGATGGCGGACGTGACCTAAAATGCTATGTGAGCTCCTGTTCGATGGATTTATGCCGCCCCCTTACTACATGCCTACTCTTGTATTTCTGTACAGCCGCAAATTTAGGGTCCAGGGGCGCCTGACCGTCTATGGACCAGGTGGAGTTTTTGTCCTGAAAATTTACCTTTAGACGGCAATTCCCTTTATATTTTGTCTATGGTTTTTATGCTCCCCCCCCCTTTCTCGCGGATTCTCTTTTCACTTTTCTTGCCTCCTTTTTCCTTCCATTTTCCCCCTTCTTCCTTGCTTTCACTGCCCAACCTTGTTTCCTTTTCTTTTTTACCCTTGTCCTTTCTTCCCTTTTTTTCCTTTTCCTTTTCCCCCTTTTTTTCCTCTCTTCTTCTTTCGTGGCGCCTCCCAAAGGCTGGCGCCCGTGTGCGCCGCACGCCCTGCACACGCCCTAAGTCCGGGTCTGTTTATTTATTTAAAAGAAAAATGTTTATAAGATAAAAATTGACAATAAAGTGACATTTAGTCCTGCCATTGAGCACAGCTCGTTCGGCAAGACAATAACATTTCACATTAACAACAATTAAATACAAAATTCGATCAAATATAAATTGTTAATTTTAATCTGGGTGGCTAACATCTGGTCCTCTCTCTCTCAAAGTCTTAGACTAGAGTGCTGTGTGTATTGTCTTTAAGGGGAGGGGGGGGATAAAGAAAAAGACAACTAAATAATGTAGAATCTTTAACAAATGAAAACATGAAAACGAGAAATGGAAAGAGCCGTATGCAAAAACGACATTTTTCGCCCCCCCCCACTAAAACTTATTCAAACTTCGTCTATCAGTTACTAATACTGGAGCGCTTCTTTCCCCAAATTTTCAGACCCCTAAAAAATTTTGGGGAGGCGCAAGCGGGGGTGGAAGTCAAAACCTATAAACCTCGATATCTTTCGAACGAAACAATATATTGAGGCCCGGTTTGGACGAAAAATCGTCTAAAATTGCATACTTTAAGATTCTAAAGGTCAAAATCCCAAAATTAAATTTTTAAATTAACTTATGTGCTTTTTTTCAGTTTTTGAGGAAAAACAATTTCTTTTAAACAGATTAAACTGAAATTTCACATTTTTTTATTTGAACCAAAACCAGTTTTTTAAATTGCTCGTCTTTTTCCGCATCCAACGAGTGGGCGTATAAGCTGGGGAACCGAACGGTTCCGGAGTTATGATCGATTGAAGTTTCCGCTCAACGCGCGCCGACCGATTTTCGCGCGCAAAAAAGTCGGATTTGACTGTTATTAAATCAGATTGAATGTTCAAACTGAGCAAAATGCTTTATTAGGGACTCTTGAGGGTCGCTGAGTTCAGAAATTACAGATACTTCCAAAAAATTCACGTTTTTAAAATTGCAGCTCCGTACAGGACCACTGAGCGGCCGGTCGGCGCTCAGTGGGCCTCTAAAATAGCGCTACGGAGCTGTAATTTTAAAAACGTGAATTTTTTGGAAGTATCTGTAATTTCTGAACTCAGCGACCCTCAAGAGAGCATTTTGCTCAGTTTGAACATTCAATCTGATTTAATAACAGTCAAATCCGACTTTTTTGCGCGCGAAAATCGGTCGGCGCGCGTTGAGCGGAAACTTCAATCGATCATAACTCCGGAACCGTTCGGTTCCCCAGCTTATACTAGAGTCCCTTTATACCCAGAGTTAAGACAACTCGATTATCAGCTGACTGGCAGCCGGCCTTGGCTGGCCATGGAGGCCGAAACGAGTGCACCCAAACGAACGATATTGAGGGGTAAGGATCAGGAATCCTGCGATGTCTGTCACACAAAAACAACAACATCAACAAATTGATCAATTAAAAAGAAAATGAGATTGGTTTGTGAGTAATTTCTTAATCTCTTTTCATTTTGGACCGATGGAAATGACAATTTACTCTTGATAAACCACAATTAGGTGATATTTTCATTATTCTTGTTCACATTCGAGGTACTGCCATCTTGGTGCACTCGTTTCGGCCTCCATGAGCGAGAACCAATCAGAATTGGATTTTTTTTTAGGCCACTTTCAGCCGAACCAAAAGTGAGTTGTCTTAACTCTGGGTATAAAGGGACTCTAGCTTATACGACCACTCTTTGGATGCGGAAAAAGACGAGCAATTTAAAAAACTGGTTTTGGTTCAAATAAAAAAATGTGAAATTTCAGTTTAATCTGTTTAAAAGAAATTGTTTTTCCTCAAAAACTGAAAAAAAGCACATAAGTTAATTTAAAAATTTAATTTTGGGATTTTGACCTTTAGAATCTTAAAGTATGCAATTTTAGACGATTTTTCGTCCAAACCGGGCCTCAAAATCTTGTTTCGTTCGAAAGATATCGAGGTTCATAGGTTTTGACTTCCACCCCCGCTTGCGCCTCCCCAAAATTTTTTAGGGGTCTGAAAATTTGGGGAAAGAAGCGCTCCAGTATTAGTAACTGATTGACGAAGTTTGAATAAGTTTTAGTGGGGGGGGGGCGAAAAATGTCGTTTTTGCATACGGCTCTTTAAAAGTTAAGATATGATATTCACCCAACAAGCAGGTCCGTGGCAATGACTTTTAGCGCCTATATAAGTATGATGTTAACGCCCCCAAGAGGAGGGTCTGGCGAGAACTCGCCGAGACGGATGGGAGGCGGGAAGTTTCTGGCAGCAATATCCTCCCCCGAAAATTGTTGAATTTCATTAAAGAATATCTGATCCATGCAAATTCCAATTTGCAGGGCTTTTGAAAACTACAACCGAGTAGTAAAAGTGAGTCAGCCTGACGTCAGACTATGTTTCATAAACTCCCTGCTGCGTCACACTGATTCAGGCTGACATAGGCAGGTCGGTACGTAGGTGGGCTTTTTGGCTGACCCCTTCCTTCCCCTCAACTTTGGTGTGAATTGAAGCGCTGGCCATAGACTGTTTCGCAGTGCTGCCTTGATCTTTCTCGGTCCAAAATCTATTAACTTCATTGGAAAATATCGAGATAGAGCAAGGGAAAGGACGCGCGTTGATGATACGGTGCAGAGATACAACTATTCGTGCTTGATGGATGTCCGTGTTGCATCCGCAAAATTGAAGGCGCGACGGCGCGAGGCGTGAACTCTCAATGCTCCGCTCTTAGCTGGCTAGCAATGAGATATTGCTCAGATTTAGGCGAAAAGTAACAAAAACTAGGCTTAATTGAGGGGCTTGGAGGACAAGGCGCGTAAGTGTAGTTTTTGAAAAAATTGAGGTATCAATTATTTCAAGTAAGATTGGTCTTAATGGATATTTTGTGAAAAACCAACTCCCAAATTCCAATTTTTAAGAATCAAAAAGTCAGGTGATAGATTGACAGATTATTTTTTTAAAGAAATGAGAGGGTTACGCAAGATTGGGTTTAACTTCTCTTCCCCCGTAAGGCCCGGTATGAAAATCCCTTACCCCCACGCTGCTTACGTGATACTCGATCGGCCCCTAAACTCCACCTCTCCGAGGTACTTTTGACTCCTGTGGGCACCTTTCGCTCCTCATGAGATAGGGCGGGTGGACCCAAAATTGTTCTTTTTTTCTTTTTGTTGAATTTTGATTCTAAGGATATTCTCGAGGTGACCCCTCCTCGGGATATTTTTGAATCCTTTGGAAAACTTCCACCCCTTGGCGGAAAGACATCCGTAATTGTTAACAGGGTTCATTCGCCCGAAATGTTGTATTTTCCCTTTATTCTTGTTGAATTTTGATTTTAAGGATATTGTTGAAGATTCTGAAGTTCCCCTTCCCGAGGTACTTCTCAGGGCCTCTTCCGAACAAATTTTGACACCCCCCCCCCCCCCCAAGATGTGGCCGGAAGACATCCTTGCTTCCATGGTTCACACGCCTAATTTGTTTTCTCCTTGCTGAATTTTGATTTTAAGGGTATTTTTGAAGATTTAATATCTCCCCGAGGTGTCTTTAAATCCTCCGGACGCAACTTCCGCCCCCGTTAGATTTGGCGGGAAGACCTCTCCGATACCATGGTTCACACTCCCGAAATTTTTCCCGACTCNGGGGGGGGGGGGGGGGGGGGTTGGAGCCGGAGGGCCCGAGAGTCAATCAACAGGAGGAGAAGGAAGGATTGGAGGTGGGATCGGGGAGGGAGGGAAAAAGAGCGTCCAAATTGAATATGCACTCTTGGATGACGATTTAGGGGGTCTGATTGGCCCGCCCGTGAACTTGGGGGTGCAGCGGCAGGGACTAATGAAGGATGAAACGCGAACAAACGGAGGCGAAGGTGGGAAGCGGAGATTAGTCGAGAGAGCGCGGCGGTGGCGTGGCGTGCTTCTCGATCCATCGATATCTCCTCATTCGAAGCTGCGCTAAATAATCGATCATTAAGGTGTAACCCTGTTCATCAGTGGCGTGGCGTGAATTGCGATATATCGATTGTTATGCCATTTAAACCTATGGTAAAGAATCGATTATTAAGGTGTTCGCTGCGGACACCCTGTTTATCGATCCTTTTCCATAGGTTTAAATGGCATTACAATCGATATATCGAAAAGCACGCCACGCTACTGACCCTGTTCGTCGATACTTTTCCATAGGTTTAAACGGCCGATCGATCGATATATCGCGGAGCTCGCGACGGGACCGGAGCGCGGGGCGCCGCGGGAGGGGCGGCAGCTGGAGCCGAGGGTGGGGGCGGCGAGCGGGGAGGGAGCGAGGGGAAGGGCGCGAAGGTATGTATGAACTATTCCGGGAAGACGCGGGGAGGATCAATATTTTTTCCCCTCCGCGCGCGTACCCGCACCCAACGGGACTCTAACCTAGATTCAGCTCCGGTCGCGATCCTAGCTCCGTCCCGTCCCGCCAACGTAAACAAAATGCGTCCCTGATTCCGCCTTTTTCGCGTCCCGTCCGAAAGCTTTTCGTCAGCCTTTCCGACTTGCTTTCCCGCCGTTTTGCGTCGCGCCTGGCCCTGCATGGCCGCGGGAAAGTAGTGCAGTGCCCCTTTGGAGTATCACCACGTTGACTCGATGAATCCCGAGGCTCCTTTTTTCGGTAAGCGCCCCTCAGATACCATGCATGTCTCCCTTCGTGTCCGGCCAGTCTTCCGCCAGAGGGAACCCACTTCCTCCCTAGGGGGGAGCTTTAGGGTGGTTTACATGTTTGTTTTTTTTTTAAAATTATTTATTTGTCACATACGGGTACAAAGTATCGAATTCTCTTACTATCAAAAAGAAATGAAGCAGAAGATTACGGCCAACAAAAAAAAGGACAGAGTAAAGCTCGATAAAAGATTGAAAAATTAAAGATGAAAATTATTGATGCGAGCCAAGGTTATAAGGGGCCAGGACATCCTTCATCTACAGAAGGTTCAAGACGTGTTGGTGACACCGGATGGTTTTCATGGTCTATCCTTTAGCAGTTACTTTTTTCGGGAGGGCCCATTTGGTTCATATTGTGATTGAGGGTGGTTTAAGCGAATCCCTCAAAATTGCATCATATGAAAGGGATAATCTTTGCCAATTTCGAGGCAAATTCAGAGGTATAACTTTGGAAATGAATCCTTGGAAGAGATTACAATGATTTACCGCCTAAAAAATTCGAAATACGACACGAAATATCTTGCGAGTTTTGTAAATTCAAAAGCAGGTTTGTACCCCTCTTAAAGTTTTCAATGACGTAATATTTTTTTGTTCGTACATTGTATTTTTGGCAAATCTCTATAATTCCTTGCAAGGATCTATTTCCGAAGTTACATAGAAATTGTCCTTTTCGTAATTCTATTTCAAGGGATTCCTCAAACCTCTTTTAGTTACTATGTAAAAACCAAGTGGGACACCCTAGGAGACTGTTTAAGGAACGGCTAAAAAACGACCCTTATTCCTCGAAAATGAGAATCCCACATTTAAAGGGATCAGAGCAACAGGGGCTTGATTTCATCACTAAATTTTACTCCGCGACTTATTCATTTGCTCAGGAGTTTTTGCAACATTTTTCGGCCACGTTTCTTCGTGAATATCCCTTGTGATTTGACAAAAACTTCCTGAAATTATTCATGTAATGTATAAGCATGTTAGGTTGATAAGTTGCCAGATAAAACTTTGGAACATGTATATGTTCCCCCTAGCTCTCGCCAATTTATTTATTTCCGTAAAGAACACCCTAAGTGTTAACGTCTTCATAGGAATAATTTACAGGTAATTTTTCCTCTGGTATATAGGAGGGAAGACATAGAAATTGGTCAAACATAAGTATATATTTTGCACATTCGTTGGTCGGTTGGTTACTTTCTATTCATTAAAAAACTGGCTCAAGGAATGTTTCTCCGCGATCGCTTATATTTGAATCCTGATTCCAAGTATTGCTTAGTTTAGGAGATTTTTTTAATGGAGTTTTGCCAAGCAACTGCATAAGTAACTGACGAATAGACGAGCTTGATCCTCAAAACATCATTTCCTATCACAGTGAACTGTAATAATTTGAGGCGACTTCAATCAGAATAGTGCGATGCTGCATGCGACTATTCGTGCTTATGGGATATCCGTGTTGCATAGTCGAAGAAATGCAGGCGCTCCGGCTTGCAGGGGATACCCGCCAAAGGTCTTAAAATGCCGCGCTGTGCTGTTTCTCCTATGGGCGAGGGCGGAGGGACGTAGACGGGTGTATCTCTCATCCCGCTGCACATTACTTGCCATCATAAAGAGGGTCTACGGATGTGATAAGAACAATCGAATAACCAATCGGCCACTTAAAGCAATATCGGCATACATAATTACATACGTATCAGCTTCGGGCCATTTTGAAGACAGTGTATATCTATTCTCAATCGGACTAGATTTTGCAATTAGGAAGCATGCACGGGGACAAATTCAATCGCTGATTTAACAATTCAATTGCTAAAAAAAGTGACTGCAATGTTTCAATGTAGATTTTACAACAAAAAATGTTACTTTAACCACCCCCGTGATTGAATTTGCTTACAATAGTGGTTGAAGAAGCATTTTTTTCTTGCAAAATCAACGTTGAAACATTGCAGTCACTTTTTCTAGCAATTGAATTGTTAAATCAGTAATTTAATTTTTTCCGTGTAACATTTGGCTCACCTACAAAAGCGCACCGCACCTGTTTGCATGAAGAGGCTAATAGCACATACGCTGTTTCTAAAACTAGCCAGAAGAGTACTTCCCAACAGGACTACATTTCGCAATTAGGGACTACGAATGCTGGCTTGGTTTACAAACTGCCACTTAGCCACTTAGTTTCCCTATGTACATAAATGTTTTTGTAGATGCTACAAATTTTAGTTCCTAATTGCAAAATGTTGGTCCAATTTTAGTCTCACTAACACTGGGTCTCAGGAATTTCTTTGTGTAAGCACGGCCATAAATTTTATTGTATAGTACAAATGAAACAACCCAACTTCAAACATTTAAAAAAAATTTAGTTTTGAAGAAATGTGGTTTTTAGGGTCGGGCACGATGTTTCTTATCACTGATTTTTTTCAAAAACAATTTAATTGCCTCCCATAAGATAGCTGTTGGCGCATTTCGTTCAGTTCAAAGATGACCCTTTTGGCTGTATTCAACTGTTCATGTTTCCAAGACAAAAAAGCAAAATTCCTGGAATCACCTCCATTTACATTTTCTGCCATTACTTGCCAACACACGTTAAAATTATTTTCAAATCACTTTTCGTCCTTCTGAATCAGGTCACTCCCGAACTTCAGACCTCCATTGAAGACAAACGTGAAATTGCAGAGACAATGGCTTTGAACAGATAACACGTTTTTCCTTTGCATATTTGTATATATGTCTATTGTGCTAAACGGCTTATGTCCTAAAATTGCATTAAGTAAACAAAACATATCGAAGGAGGATTAAAAACACAAAAATGACTGTGAAGTGTAATGAAGCCTGAAGGGGTTTTTGCGAGCGCTCTTCGTCGTATTTCCGTGCATTTGACTTACACGCAGCTTTAATAATTTCGTGTGTAGCTCTATCTATTGTCCTAGAATACAGCATATAAGTCTTTTTTACCACTCATAATATGGATAAGTCCCAATCGTGTAAGTTCATAAAGGAGGGTAAAGAGCAGAGGTAGGCGTTGAAAAACGTGGAAATGTATAAATGATTTTTGCACAGGGCCGCGGCCGGATTTACCTACTTGCCGCTCATGGGCCACCTGTATTTTGCCGCTCCCTTCTCATTCGTTTTGAAACATCAATAAAAATCATCAAGTGAAGTAACGGAGGGGGAGGGGAGGGGTGCATAAGACGCGTTCACTCGTGCTGGACACATTTTTTGCGAAAACCCTCCTGTCAACACTATTAGCAAAAGTTCACGGAGCTTTGCGCGAAAGTTAAGTTTCGTAAACCTATCTCTGTGTGAACAAGGCCTTCCATTTGTAAGAAATGAACGTAAAAATTATGCAAGAACAAACATAAATGTGGTTGAATAATTTTAACCTCCGCCCCCGCGCCGCGCTGACTACACTGTTTTTGACGCAATGCGTGAAGTATTCCTACAGTCTTGGAGGCGTTAAACGTTTCACGCCGACCGCTGCTGACTGCACTGTGTTCGACGCAATGTGTGAAGTATTCATGAAGTCTAGTAGGCGCTATGCGTTTCACGCTGACCGCGCTGCGTTTGACGCAAAGCGTGAAGTATTCATGCAGTCTTGCAGGTGCTAATATGTGTTACATGCCGACTGCCGCGCTAAGGGCTTCTCTTTTCATCTCAAGTCCTATTTCATCATCAAGTCCTATTCATCATCATTGCTCTCTCCGCCGCGTCGCTCCATACCAAATTGTGTCTTTGGTTTCTCTCTTCACTCGACTAATTAAAGGTCGACTCTTGTGTCACCGAAAGACGCTTTCCTCGTTTGTAATTTTTTTTCTAAATCGGATTTTTTTATACCTGTATTTAAAAAAATTGCAAAAATTGCCGCCCCCTAAATTTGCCGCCATGGGCCGCGGTTTTTGCACGTAAAAGAAAATTGAAAATCAGAGCGCTAAAATTAGAGGATTACTTTTTGACAACGGCGGAGAGGAGAGAGTATAAAATAACTGCAGTTGATTGTCTTCTGGACCGACGAAGAGACGTAGAATACAACGTAGGTTCTCACTCAATCCCTTCTTCTTATAACAGAAAACACACGGCTCAACATATTGAAAGATGTCAACCGAAGTGCTGAAAGCGTAAACGGTATCTCTGCTACATCAGTGTAAAAATAACTTCGAACTGAAAGGAGTGTATAGTAATCGTAAATTGGTTATAACCAATTTTCGATCAACTACTATAGTGGTTGATCGACTCTAATCGTTTTAATTGCCTTTACTGCTCTACCTTATGACGATGAATAATGTGTGTCGCTATGAGAAATCAGCCCGTCCTCATCTCTGCCGTGTTAAGGAAGAACGCCGTATAAACCTTCAGACGTTGCCACATTTCCTTCAATAAAATCTTCATTTACTGGGAATAGATTGAGTTTTTTTCTTTAATTTTTTTCCGACGAGTTTGTTCGCAATTCCGTATAAAATGTCTGAAACTTTCAAGAAAAAACACGCATTGTCGTTCTCAAAAATACATGTTTTACCCGGGGCAATTTGACAACTCCCGGATGTTCATACGGCGTTCTTTCTTAGCACGTACGGCAGATCTGTTCCTCATCAGGGAAACGGTGTGGTATGCTGAGACATCAGAATGGCAAGTGCCCGCTACTGCAAGCTGGAGCGCCTGCATTTCTATGCATACGCAACTTACACATCTCCGAAACACGAATAGTTGTATTCAGCGTGGTACATTTAATGACTGAAGGCGCCTCAAATTATTACCGTTCACTGTGAAAAGCATGATCCGTTCTTTAGAGAATGTTCACTCCACCGAACTAAAACTTCCGATGAACAAAAATTGTTCGCTTCATACCGAAATCAGAAAAATTTTGAACAACTAAACTTGACGGCTGTTTTAAGTGAATGAGTAAAATATCACGTAATTGTCGAAACCTTAAGACGTTATATCGAACTTACCGATGTCACTTTATAAACAAAGATGTAT